AAAGAGTGTATCTTCTATGTTTTTAACATGAGATGTATGGACTAGGTCCTGTGGTTGATATTGTATCTGGCAGCGCCGCTGACAGTGCAGAGTCCAGCCCTTGTCTTGGACATGTGGTCCCTGTGCATTCCCACAGGGAATGGGAATACATTTCCTGTGTGGTCTGCTATGTGGTACAGCCTGCCCTACGAGGCAGCAGACCACACAGGGCTGAGAATTTGTTATTTTCACACTTAAAGAACTCGCCACGAAAGCATAATAAAAACGGAATCATGATTGATTTTAATCAGAATATGAATGGTAAGAACCACTTCTTGCTGGAGCAGAAGCTGATTTGATTTTCCTTGGTCTACTCTCTTCTTTTAAAATCAGTATTTGAGTGCATGGGCTGCTTACAGTTTTCATGTTCTTACTAGCTTCTCGGTTGTCCTCCAAGAGATTACTTTCCCAGGATTTTTAAGTATCAGATTGCATATTTAGAGTCCCAGTGCAAGGATAATGTTATTATTTCCTTTCACTGAGGTTAAGTCATAGCAGAAGCAGAGCGTGGTGTGGTGGGCACAGCATCTGGATGATGGTGTCTCTCTCTACACAGCAGGCTCTGGCCTGGGGAAGTGACTGAGGTTTCAGGGTGATGTTTGCTGTCGCCCCTTTGTAGGCTTGATCAGCTCTGGGGTGGATTCCGTTCTCTTGGAAGAGCCTTTAAATCTGTCTGCCTTGCCTTCTGTCCCAAGGGATGGAGCAGAGCCAGATTCAGTCCTCAGATCTAAGTAAGCAGTTAGTTGTCATTCATGTGCTGTTGAGGTTTGATCCAAATCCTCCTGATTGGTCTCATTTTCAGTCTTTTGGAATATTTACCTCACCAAACCTCACAATGTTCCAAATACTGCTTTTTAACCTTTTTTTAAAATCCTGTTGAATGATAGTGGCTGGGACAAAAGAAACTTTAAACACTTTAAAGCATTTACAGCAGAGCTGGGTTTGCTCAAACATAAAAGAGGTGGGGAAAGTTACTGGAATAAAGAAAACCTCAGGAGAAAGAGTGACTTTCAGCCCAAGTAGTGCACCTAAGGGAAACATAAAGCAATCTCAAGCAGCAGAATTTTTAATCTTAGACATATGAATATATTTCCTTTCTACAGCAAAAGAGTAAGTAAATTGAATTTTTGGGTGATTATAAGTGTAAAAGACTAGTGTTACTTAAGTCTTTTTAAAATGCAACTGTAATTAGGGAGGTAGTTGTATAATCTGTTTAATACTGTGTATTTAAATGTGTATATACATAGTATGTTTTAAAGCATACCTTATTAGGAAGCTGCAGCCTATTAGTGCAATGATAATCGGAATGGTTATTGTTGTAAACACTTTATAGCTGCTGTTTGTCTTTAGTAGCATAGTAATTAATTTTAAATAAAATTAAACAGTGAGCTTTGACATAAAGTGGAGCTTAACTTATGCAAGCTTCTCTGAATCAATTAACTGTTGAGTAGCCAGATTTGAAACAACATGTATTTTCAGCCCATGTTTGAGGAAAATACAGAAAACTCCATGTAATGTAACAGCTTAGAAGTTGGAAAAAGGAGTGACTGTTCTCGTTTGTTGTGGCTCTAGCCATTCCTCCCGCAGCTTTGCTGCGGTCAGAGCGCGTTGTTTTGCAGCCGTGAGGAACGTACCCAAGTTTAGGACCGATTTTTAAGGTCACGTTCCCCACGCCAAGGCTCGTGTTTCACCACGCCAAGCCCGGCCTGCCGGCACC